TCTTACTTCTATAGTCATTTAAAGATTACATTACTTAATAGTTGAACTTCTTTTATTTTAATTAAAGTTCAATTGTAATTGTACATCAGTTGTTTAGAAAGGAATTATTAAAAGTAGGTTGGATGTATCTAAAAAAGAACAAAAACACACACACATAATATGTATATAGATTGCGAAGTAGGAATACATTTATGCTGGTTTTTTATTTAATCGACAGAAAAAATAAAAAAGAAATCTTATACATTGATTGATTACTATATCAAAGGAATACCCAGCTTAGTTTTATAGAGTTTAGTTGCTCAAACACATGTTTTGAAGAATGTAATAGTGATCAATGTTGCTATACATCAGTTAAAAATAATACAGCAACTGAATCACTTAAGGTATCCGACTACGTTCGGAACTGTGATTTCAAAAAAGCGCATAAATGGATAATTTTCATGATATTTAGTGTCTCTTAGATAAGAATACATGGATAAAATTGTTTTAAGGACATTTTGACAAAAAAAATTATTTAAATACAATATTTCGGCAAAAAATTAACTTAGAATAACCTTTTTTCAGAATGTTCTCCTTTTATAAAAAAAGGTTCTATTATAATATTTTGCCTGTATATAGCTCAGACCTCTCTACAGAGGCTCAACTGGAATTTTTGAAAAATTCACATTTTTAGAGTTACCACCAATTGAAATAATTATTGGCGTTTTTTTCTTAAAATTGCTCCCCTCTGTTGTCGTAAAATATGAATAAACCCACTTCTAAGTTATATATTTCAAAAATTCTAGTTGAGCCTCTGTAGAGAGATCTGAGCTATATACAGGCAAAATATTATTATAATAGAACCATTTTTCACAAAAGGAGAACATTTGGAAAAAAGATTTTTCTAAGTTAATTTTTTGCCAAAATATTGTATTTAAATAAATTGTTTTTCAAAATGTCCTTAAAACAATTTTATGCATATATTCTAATCTGAGTGACACTAAATATCATGAAAGTTATCCGTTTATGCGCTTTTGCAAAATCACGGTTCCGAACGTAGTCGGATACCTTAAGTTTTCAGTTTATGTTGTTCTAAAAAAATTTAAAAACAGATAATTGTTACATTATTGAATTCGAATTGTAATTCTTGTTGTAAAATAATAACATGGCTACAGTTGGTTATTAGTAGTCCACACTTTAAAAATATGAAGAATTTATGAATGCGGAAGCTTAACTTAACTGACCTCATTCGTAAGATATTTGTAACTAATTTAAGAGAGGCATTTGGACTGTATACGCTTTTCCTTATTAATTCCACTTATCCAATGTTGTCTCGCCTTGTGTAAATTCATAACTTATGTTCTTCCGACTTGCTGTTCAGGACAGAGGACAAAGGCCTTATATGTCACTAGGGGATGTAGCAAGTTAAAATCCCATGCTAAGCCAAATACAATCGAATGGTAAACAACACAGGGTTAACATTCATTTCCAAATAAGACAGCTTTCTTAGAGTATTAAGATAAAAAGAAAAAAAGCCAAGAAGTGTGGCTCCTGTCTAATCTTCAACTATCTCAATTCTCTCTGTCTTGCTCTTGATTTAAACAAAAAAAAAATGTCTCGTTAAGTTTTTTAGCCTCTGATATATTTTCTTAACAGATAAGGTTGACAAACAATCGTAGGGATGATCAATAAATTAAAAAGAAAGCTCATCAGCTTCTTTAAAAACAGTCTATAATTATTTGTAATAACAGATAATGGTTTTCTGAGATATTTTTATGACCACGTTAGATAATAGAAAACGATATTAATGGACCCCCTGATGGCAACATATTTAAAAATTAAAAATACAATAGAAAATTAACAGTTTTATCTACGAACGCTTAAGTTTTTTTTCAAACAAAACTTCATAATCAAATATTTTTTTTATTATGTGCTTATTTAATAAATATTGTATTCACCAAAAAATAAAAAAAAGAAGTGTTAGAGGTATTTGTTTTTGAATTAATATCGCACTGAACCAAATAGGCTATTATCAACGAAATTTATCTTCTTGAATCACCGGGCAGTTGACAAAAACAATACACCCAAACTGGACTTCACATTCTTAATTTCTACACACAACGCCACATAAAAACTTTTAGGACGTTGAATTTAACTAAAATCAGCCTCCAGTAATCCACACAACGATCGTTGGCGTAGTGAAGCGGATGCAGATGTTAAGTGGTCCAGGTTGTAACCGCGTGACTGATTTTGTTTTGTGAGCTTGAGATCTTAATCGATTGTGTGTGGCGAAGTCTTTATATAAAATAAACCTTAAAAAATAATTTTTTGTTAGGGAAGGGAGAGGGGTATATATATTTTTTTTACCTTTGATTACATGAAATGCTGATAATTTCTATAAAGCAGTTTTATTGTATTATATTTATTGTATTTATTGTATTATTGTATTATATTGTATTTATTCATAAATAGTGTGCCCAATTTTAGAGGATCATAAATTTTTATTGAATAAAGTTATTTACATGGAATTTTCAATGTGATTTCCTCTAGCACAGTACGTTTTTCGTAATCGTTTTAGTTAAGCTAAAAGAGTTTTTTCGATCATTTTTGGGGTATTTTTCCAACTCCCTCTGAAATTGCTTTTTGAAGCCCTAGAAAAATGCTCGTACTTTACGTCTATTTAATTATTTTTTTAAGTATCCCCATAAAAAAATAATCCCAACGACACAGAGAGGACAGTGATAGTCATTTATCAGGAGGTAGAAAATTTATTTTTTAATCTTTTAGCATTTTATAGTTGATTTTACAGTATGACTTAGTGCAGAATCTTGGTGAAAAAACAAAGCTTCCTTGAGGGTAAAGACTTTTACTTTTTTTGATCAAGTGACTCAAAACTTTATTCTGATAGTATTTAGCATCAATTTTAAAGTTTGTGTTTCTACAAAAAATGGTTTTATTAAGTCTTGAGAAGACATTTCCATCCATACCATAACATCTGACGGCCAATTTGCATTTTTCAAAACAATTGCGTCTTTGCGACGTTTTTTGCTTGAAATATATTGAATCTTCGTTTTGCCAGTTGTGATTGACAGATGAAACTGTGCTTCATCAGAAGTTATCCATGCTTTGTTTCTATCTTTGCATAACATTAAATATAGAGGTCAAGGACGTTTGCATCGTATTTCTCCGGTCTTAGCAGACATTTGATGACAGAATGGAAAATTTACTTTTTTATAGCCAATTTTCTTTATCTGACGACATATTGTCGATTGCTATATCTGTAGTTTCTTTGCCATAGGTTTTTGAGGCAACGGTTTTTCTACAGCGAGAATTCTTTTCAGCTACTTTTTTTCTTTTTCATTAAGAACTTCCTTTCGCTCACATTTTTCCTTGGAGCTTTCGATTGTGAGCCAATTATTATTTTTTTTTAAAGTTTAGGTAGTAATACAATAGAAAAATGTCGTTTTTGATTTTTAAATGCTTTATTTTTAACAGAAATTAAATAACCATCCTTCAAAAGCCGTAAAATTCCGTTCCGGGTTTGAGGATCCAATTTTACTACTGTAATTTACTCCCACTAATAAAAATGATTAGATTGGTAATTTAAATGTTTCATTTTTCAAATAAAACCAGTAGTAAAACGATAGAAATTCATCATAAATAGTTATTTGCTTTTAAAATTGGCCACACTTATTTTGAATCAACCAGTATGTAAGATAAAACTTATAATTAAGTCAAATGCAGCCATTACAGACTCAGTACCAATTTTAAAAAATTTCCCAAAATAATTAAAAATTATGGTGAATATATTCAATTATGGTAATATATGGTAACAGTTTCTCCTGTTTAAGCAGTATATATGTTACAAAGAATTACAAAAAGGACTCGAAGGCTAATAAAGTAATTTTTGGCCGTTACTTGAAATTAATTTCATAAATCTACGACTATAAATCTCCGGGTTCTTTTTCTTTGGAATTTACCAGTTTGCGATTTTGTACTTGTGTTATCTAGGATTTTATTAAACTTTTTTTGTTCTAAATTAATACTTTCTTTCGTCTCCGTTCCTAACTAAAAATAATTTATATGTACTTATAAACGTAATTATACCCCGACATACGCCATTATCTCTTATTCCCACATATCGCCTACGTTCAGAGTATTAATGTTCGTGTAAAAAACAATTAAAAAAATACATTCTTATTCTCCAGGCAATTTTGATTAGCTAAAAAAAATGATTGCGCATAGAAGGTAAGCAAACACAAAAAAAATTACTTGCAATTAAAGAACATCAGGTACTTGTGCATATCATAGCCATTGTCAATAGAAATTGCCAAAACAAATGCGCCAAATACCGTCAAAAACCTGGCGTATTTATTTCATGAAATCCATGTATAATGATTTCCAGTTGTGTTTCGATAAAGTCGCATGGCCAAAGTAGCTGTGGTCATGATCTCGAATTTCTTGGAGGGGGGAGGAGACGTTGTTTTTGCCGAGTCGTGGTCCCAGTTCTGATACCCCTAAACACTTGACACATAGAGGGGCTAATGTACGATAAATCTGTCAAAACTCTACTCCTCAAGTTGGCATGATGTAGAAGTTTGGAGAGGGGGTATCATCTCAGGTGTCTTTATTATCACTTGGTTGGTATTCAAAATAACGAGGTCCGTCACCTACAGCACCCGTGTTGCTTCGAAAAAGTTCGTAAACAAACAATGAGTTGACAAATGCCGCAACTATTTTCGTTTGTGCTTGGTTTCTATATGTTTCAATCTCTCTCTTCTTTTTTTTCAATTCCTACTATTAGTTCACACTCTTCCTATATACATATATATATCTTGTTCAAATTTTCAATCGTTAATAAAATTCTTTTTATTCATCCACTCAAGTTCAAAGGCATTTTTTAAACTTGTAGTGGATGACACTTGATGTTAATACAGTTTTTCAAATATTAATTTATTTATTTATAGTATCAAACAAAAATAATAGTCCAACACTATATAAAAAGGCAAATCACTCGTTGTATCCCTGTAGCGCAATGGATAGCGTGTTGGACTTCTAATTCAAAAGTCGTGGGTTTGAATCCAACCTGCGATGGTCTAATTCCTGAGAATGTGATTTATGAATGAATAAATAGTAAAACAAACACAAAAGTAATAATCCAATATCCTATATAGAAAGGAGAATTGCAAGGAAAATTATTCTCCATTTTGCCACTTAATATCGTGATTCTTTCATATGTAAATATATATTTATATTAATTGTAATTATTTAATGAACAGTAACTAAAATAAAAATTTTCTTTGTTAAACTAAGTAGGAGTTGACTTATTTTTTTTATATATTACTTGTGTTACCCTTCTCCTATTTTCGTCTAAATCTTAACTTCTAAAATTGACATTGTGAAATTTGTCTGCCACAACAACTACAAAAAGACTTGCTGCAAGAGTACAGCGTCTTACCATTCAAACACAAATGTTCAAATTTGTATAACATGAAGTTATATTTAGCGTAACAAAGTTGCTTTGCAAATGCTGTGTTAAAAACAGTAATCAAAACATTGGAATTAGAAATATAAGGGTTGCCCAAATGAAAAGTGGACAAGTTAAATAAAAAAAAACCTTTATTGAAATTCAAAATTAATCTCTATGGGCGTTGTAACATATATCCTATAGCTTCGACAGTATGTCTACGCCTTCGCTGTAGGAAGATTGTGGTTGATTCTCGAGGACGTCCTGCATAGCATCCTTCGCTTCATCGTCCGAACGAAAACGTAATGCTTTCTTAAGGGGGAAATTGCGTGGAAGGTTTCAGGGAGTGAAACCCAGACTGTACGGTGGGTATTCTAACACTTTTAAATGGAATTTTTTTGAGGCTGTCTGGGTCTCATGGGAGATGTTTGAGTTGGTATTGTCAGAGATCTGGTATTGTTTGATACCCTTCCCGAAAACTTTTCTCCAGTTGTGGGAACTAAGCAGTGATCACTATAGAATAACCCTATTTGCTGATAGATGCCCGCACCCAGCTCACCTTCCTCAAACAGAAACCATTCTAGCATGCATTGTTCTTATATGGACGTATCTAGGAGCAGAACGACTTTACTTTTGATCAATTTTCTCTACCACGAACAGGTTTCATTATTGCTCGTCGTATATGCAGTGTATACCTCCTACTTCCCTTTATATGCCTGTTTGGTGGTGCTGCTATAGCTGCAATCATTCTGGCACAATTGCACCTGTCCACTTTTCATTTGAACAGCTCTTACAGGTAAGTACTCTATTGTATTTGATTGTTTACTGACTTCCCACACAGAAGCAATGTATGGGCTATTAGCGACAGATCTCGTAATTTGAATCACAGTCGAATGACGAGGACTACATTTGACTGTTGGCCCCTTTACTCGACGCCTCCTTAGCGGCATCAGGATCCAAACACATGATTCGTGTCTTTGGTCACGAACTCACGATCGTGACCATTTAACAATTCCTGTTGCAACGTGAGGACAAGGAGAATGTGTAAAAATACATAGATACCGAAGATCAATATAGATTAAATCAAAGAACACACAATTTCTGAAAAATTTTATTATTTAAATTTTCAAAGAAAGCGGTAAGAATTATTGCAAATGCGATTTATTCGATTTTGAAATATCGTCAGTTTCTCTTTTATGTGAAAAAAAAACAATATGGTGCAATTAGTAACGAGATTTAAGAAGTTGTCGTTCTCTTGTCAAGCAAACAAATTTAGAAGTTGATTGTGTTGACGTTCCTGGATTCCCCCAGGAGCTGACAATTGATGATCTCACAGAAATGCACGAGCAAGAGCAAATCATTGAAGAACTGGAGTCTTTAGACCTAGTTCAATCAGAATATCGACTGACGATGCTGAGAATTTGACAGAAGCCTTCAGTTTAATTGAAAAAAGATTACACATTTTTGAAATTATTGACTCCAACTATGAGCGTATTTTTTCAACAAAACAAGAAATATATATATATATTGGCATGCAACGAGAACATTTCACGGGGAAAAAAACTGTTAACTAAGATTTTATTATAACCATTAAATTTTCTTTCGTCTCCGGTCCAAAGATAAAATGTTTATATACGAAATCATACCTTGACTTCTACGAATTCGATTAGAATAAATGTTCCCCAATTTTCTATATTTAAAGTAAAATATCTTCAGATTTTCGTGTTTTGTATAAGAACTTTGCTCAAATTTTGTATATTCTTTTAGTATTAATTTAACATATTTAATTAATGAACTATTTTAACCTTTTTACATAATCTCATAAAGTATTTTAATTTTATAAAGAATGAAAAAAGTTAAGCTTCTCCCGAACAAAAAGGTTTAAATCATTTAAAATACTGCTACGTGCGATTCCGGTACCCCTGTAAAGCTATGATAAAATACATACTTGACTATCCGATTTATATACATAGGCGTTGTATCTCTCTCTCTCTCTCTGTATATATATATATGTAAAATCAAGGGTTTTGTGGTGTCGGGGGGGGGTCGTGACCCCTAGGACCCTCCCTTGTGTGCGCCACTGAGTGGTGTATATTACAATATCTATAAACATATACTGAGAACTTCGTGAGGTTAAAGCCAGTTTTGTGACTAGCTAACCTTCCCCTTCTCTGTACAGTACTATGTAAAATCGTAAGATATTCTGAACTCGTTATTTACAAAAAGATGTTTACGGAGCAAGAGAAGTATTCGAAAATACTTGATTCGCTGATCAGTTCAAAGAATAATTAACTAGTTATTGCCGGATTCAGGGATTATAAATGCTTGTTTAAAGCGTGAAAAAAAGCCTATTTATAGCAAATTTGTTAGTTATAAAATATATTAAGAGAATATTTTAATAATTTTCTGTAGCAGTTGTAGATATACACAATTATTTTGGCTCGAGAGCCACTTTGAGAAGCGGAGGTTAATGTCTGGTCGCACCTTTTAAAATAACTGCACTCATTAAGGTATCCGACTACGTTAAGAACCGTGATTTTCAAAAGCGCATAAATGGATACTTTTCAAGATATTTAGTATCACTTAGATAAGAATATATGCATAAAGTTGTTTTAAGGACATTTTGACAATTTTTTTTTATTTAAATACAATATTTTGGCAAAAAATTAACTTAGAAAAATCTTTTTTTTCCAAATGTTCTCCTTTTGTGAAAAATGGTTCTATTTTAATAATATTTTGCCTGTATATAGCTCAGATCTCTCTACAGAGGCTTAACTAGAATTTTTAAAATACCGGGTGGGCAAAAAGTCCGTGAAAACTTTAAAAATTCATAAAATCCGGAGAAACGAACGAAAAAAAAACTGTTTGAACGATCAGCATTAGTATGTCACGGGATTTTTTTTAAGCTAGAAAAAAAAATAATTCGAAAATCATCCAGTAGGTGGCGCTGTTACAAGCGTCTGTGGTGGAAATATGCAAATTAGACGGCTATAAAAACCTTTGCTCTCAATGAATCCACATTCATTTCACTATTACAAACAGTGAATGTGAGCAAGGATGCTCAGTGCGCCGGATAAAGCTTTGTTGGTGAAGTTATTTTACATGAACGAGGAATCAGCGACCATTGCCTTGCGTAAATTCCGAGTTCAGAAAAATGTGAAGAGTGGAAAAGGCCCTTTAACACCTGCAGGTCTCTTAAAGCTTGTTAAACTTTTTGAGGAAACTGGAAAGTTGGAGGATCGAGCAAGAGCTGGACGACCATGCTTGAAAGAAGCACGTGCAGCCTGCATTGCTGTCGAAATGGAAGCGATTGCGTCCGAAGCAGCTTCAGGGACCAGCAGTGCTCGTGAAGCTGCCAGACGATTGGGCTTACCACCATCATCTGTCCACAATATTCTTCGTTGAATCCTCCAGCTGTACCCATGCAAATTGCAATCGTGCCATGAACTTTTTCCAGCAGATACCGCACAGAGGGAAGCATTTGCGAAGTGGGCCTTCCCTAAAATGGAACAGGATCCCACCTGGGTTTTTAACATCTTGTGGACAGATGAAGCTCATTTCTCGCTTCATGGTGAAGTTAACAACCATAACTGTCGCATTTAGGCGACCTCTAATCCACGTGAGTGCACACAGAAGCCATTGCATTCCCCAAAAGTGACAGCATGGTGTGGTTTCACGGGTTCATTTATGATAGGACCCTTCTTCTTTGAAACGCAGTGCCCAGTAAATGGGTGGATAACGGAAACGGTAAATGCTCAGCGTTATCTACCGCTTCAGCGGGAGACTGTCGTGCCATGTTTAATTCAACGAGGTCAGATTTCGAATGTCGCGTTCATGCAGGATGGAGCAACCAGTCACACTGCTAACCCAGTTAAGGCATTCCTGATACAGATGTTCGGGGAAGACAGAATCGTTAGCAGGCACTGCAGGTACCCATGGCCTCCTCGGTCTCCAGATTTAACGCCCGCAGACTTCTGGTTGTGGGAATATTTGAAATCTCGCGTGTATCTATCCGGTCCATCAAGTCTGTCGGAACTGAAAGATGCGATCCGCAGAGAAGTATCCTCCATACATCCGGACATGTTGCACTCTGCCGTTGCTGAATTTGTCACTCGTCTGGAATGTCTTCTCCCCTGTGGTGGTGGTCATGTGGAACATATTCTGGTGTAATAAAGTTGTGAAAGTTTTCTGCTCATTATTTATGCATTGTTTCTTTGATTTGCGTACATCAGCGCCACCTACCGGATGATTTTCGAATTATTTTTTTTCTAGCTTAAAAAAAATCCCATGACATACTAAATGCAGTTTTTTTTTTTGTTCATTTCTTAGGATTTTATGATTTTTTAAAATTTTGACGGACTTTTTGCCCACCCGGTATATAACTTAGAAGTGGGTTTATTCATATTTTACGAAAACAGAGGGGAGCAATTTTAAGAAAAAAACGCGAATAATTATTTCAATATGTGGTAACTCTGAAAATAACGTGAATTTTTCAAAAGTTTTAGTTGAGCCTCTGTAGAGAGGTCTGAGCTATATACAGGAAAAATATTATTATAATAGAACCATTTTTCACAAAAGGAGAACATTTGGAAAAAAGATTATTCTAAGTTAATTTTTTGCGAAAATA